ACCTGACAGTTGTGCAGAAAACCATCATTGACACCCTCCATAAGGAGGGAACGCCTCAAAAGGTAATTGCAAAAGAAGTTGGATGTTCCCAAAGTGCTGTATCAAAGCACATTAATAGAAAGTTATGTGGAAGGGAAAAGTGTGGAAGAAAAAGGTGCACAAGCAGCAGGGATGACCGCAGCCTGGAGAGGATTGTCAGGAAAAGGCCATTCAAAAGTGTTGGGGACTTTCACAAGCAGTAGATTGAGGCTGGAGTCAGTGCATCAAGAGCCACCACACACAGACGGATCCTAGACATGGGCTTCAAATGTCATATTCCTCTTGTCAAGCCGCTCCTGAACAAATAACAACATCAGAAGAGTCTTACCTGGGCTAAAGAAAAACAGACCTGGTCTGTTGCTCAGTGGTCCAAAGTCCTCTTTTCTGATGAGAGCAACTTTTGCATCTCATTTGGAAACTAAGGACCCAGAGTATGGAGGAAGAATGGAGAGGCACACATTGCAAAATGCTTGAAGTCCAGTTGAAGTTTCCACAGTCTGTGTTGATTTGGGGAGCCATGTCATCTGCTGGTGTTGGTCCACTTGCTTCATTAAGTCCAGGGTCAATGCAGCCGTCTACCAGGAAATTTTGGAGCACTTCATGCTTCCTTCTGCAGATGAGCTTTATGGGGATGCTGACTTCATTTTCCAGCAGGACTTGGCACCTGCCCACACTGCCAAAAGCACCAAAACCTGGTTCAATGACCGTGGGATTACTGTGCTTGATTGGCCAGCAAACTCACCTGACTTGAACCCCATAGAGAATCTATGGGGCATTGCCAAGAGCAAGATGAGGTAAAATCCTTGTTTTATTGATTGCATGTAATATTAAAATTTTCTGAGATTGTGGATTTGGGGTTTTCATGAGCTGTAAGCCACAATCATTGCAATTATGACAAATCACAGCTTGAACTATCTTGCTTTGCATGTAATGAGTCTTTCTCATATATTAGTTTCACCTTTTAAGTTGCATTACTGAAATAAATTAACTTTTGCACAATATTCAAATTTTTCGAGTTTCACCTGTATAATCTTAACAGTTTTGTAAAATAAAATAGAAATAACAAACATGTGCTTGCCCATGGATTGGTTTATTTAGGCTGAATGCATTTCAGCCACTGAATAATTCATAGCAGCCTTGCATGCATTATCACCCAATCAGACAATATTTTAGTTGGATATCTATTATACAGTGAAGTGTGCCATCTTACTAGAAGTGAGGGTGGGGGGAGAGAATGTAAACTAGAACTTATTGCAGTTTTAGATATGCAAACAGTCATATGGAGTTTATCTGCTGTTATCCAGAAATGTGCATGTACCTCTGAATTCATCCAGAATCAATAGATTTGGGAAACATTCTGAGAGAATTTCAAAAATATTTACAGGGTGAGCTCTAATCATAAAGGTTTAGGGAATCTTCTTTATAATTATGTTTTATTGCATTTTGAAATCATTCCATTTGATTATATATTACAATGTCCTATTAATAATAAAATTATAACATATTCAAGGGCTATTTATATTCAGAATGGCCATACAGTATTGTAAGATCAACTCACTAAAATCAATGCTTCCTAAAATTAGACATGTGCGGTACTTTTCGTTCCGAATTGAAATTCAGACAAATTTTTCGTTGTTTGGAGATCTGGATGTATGCAAATTTCCGAATTACAATAGTACCAAATTTAAACAAATCTGAAATAACGAAACAAAATTTTAATCACATCGACTTCGAAAGGAATTTGAATATGAAATTGAATTTGAAAACAAATTCAAAATGTAAACATATTGCTGACTATTGCTTATTTCCTTCAAAGACCGTGTGTATTAGAATATAGCCATCTTCCGAAATTCGAATTTCGAAAAGAATAGAATAAAACAGAATAGAACAAAACTGAAAATAAAAGAATAAAATTGAACAGAATAGAATGTATTACAATAGATTGGAATAGAACAGAGTAAAATAGCAAAAATATAGCCATCTTCCGAAATTTGAATTTCGAAAAGAATAGAATAAAACAAAACAGAACAGAATAGAATAGAAAATAAAATAATAGAAGAGAAAAGAAAATGAAAGAATAGAAAAGAAAAAAAAACAATAGAAAAAAAAAATATAATAGAAAAAATATAGTCATCTTCTGAAATTCAAATTTCCAAAAGAATAGAATATAGTAAAACAGAATAAAATATAAGAGATCAGAATAGAGTAGAAAAAAATAGAAAAGCTTTAGAATAGAATATAGCAATCTTCTGAAATTCGAATTTCAAATAGAATAAAACCAACTATTCTTCATAATCAATTGGATATTTTCAATTCATATACTTTGAATCCATTGAAAAAATTCAAATCTGGTCAAAAATGATTAACCAAAATGAATGTTGTTACGAATGCAACAACATGAAGTTAGTAACTTAACAAATCGATCTGAAACTAAATGAAGCATAGTTTATCACTATAAAAAGGAATCTTTTAGCTTTGTTCACAAGCCAGCCATGGAGATATAACTTGCTTTGGGAAGTTGTTTTCAAACGTGTCGCCATGGAGCAGATGTACTTGTGGTGCTTGTTGGATATAATTTATATGTTGTCCAGCTCCCAACACTCCAGAAATGTAATAGTTGGCTTTAAATGATATATTTACCATTTAGGAAAAAGTTTTGTGGTATGAAGAGTATACAAATAGAAGCCAGCGTAGGTTCATGGCTAGAGCATCTCTACAACACTCATGGAAAATATTTTAAATCATTTGATGTATTTAGAAGTAATGTTTATTTGAATATTAGATTTGTGCATGTATAGTATGGCTCATATTCCATTGTCCCCTTTGGGTCTCCAGGGGGTTTGGCCCCCTGTTTTTTCTCCTCCCCCTGCCCCCTGGTGCAGCTGCAACATGATACTCTATTGAACCAGAATGAGAGAATATATTAATTTCTAACTGTATGTTTTTGTTCTTGTTTATATCGGTAGCTAAATGTTTATACGGTGATGGCTCCTGAGAAAGTGGATCAAGTCCATGAAACACATTGCGCCCAAGCCTATAAAAGAATGAGCCTATAGTTTGCAAAGAATTGGATCATATGAGAAAAGATATGTTGTTCCTTGATGTTGTAAACTTTTTAGTTCTTATACGATTCAGTATTGTTGATGTGAAACAGAATGATGTCACATATGTTGAAGTTTGACATATAATAAATCATGTTTTTATACCTATGTTGTGCCTCAAAAGTCCCCAGTCTTTTTTTCAGTTTAAATATACAATATTAGGGATGCGGTACTAATATTTATTTTAATCTTGATAAATGAAGCTTTTGATTTTTGTTCTGCACATGTCTACTTAAAATACAGCTAACAAGTCCATGCATCTCTTCAGTCTTACTCAACAAACACTCAGAGGACTGTATCTCTGAATGGGCTCATGGGTTTCATTCAAGAGGAACTGTGTTCCCATATCTTTTTTTTTTTGGATATTCATTCAACAATGTAATGTATAAAACCTGTACTCTCTGTAAATATACCCTTACTTTTTTTAAACATGTAAATGACAGATTTAAAAAAAAACATTGAGGCTGTTTCATGTCCCTATGCTATTTGTAAGAATTAAGCCAATAGTTATCTGGCCCTTTGCTGACAGGCCCAGACAGCCAAGGGACCCAAAGGGCAAACAAAAAAAAATACCTAGTCCACTGCATTGTCTTTCCATTGTTTAAGTTATAATGTCATAATGTAAACAATGTATCACATATATAATCATAATATGAGAATAAGAAATTATTTCTAAAAAAAGTGAGGAAACTGCTGCTTTTAGAGAAGTGGCAGTGGATGTACACGATCCACTATTATATGTTTTACTTGGTATAAGTTGAAAAACCCAATCAATTAAATCTGTGTATATGCCAAGATAATTGGCCTGTTGCTATCACTCTTTATAGATTAGTAAACTGGAGTCCACATGTCCATTCTTGTTATTATATACTTCTCTGATTTACTAAAGATGAAGGAGATGCATATACATATTGACAGCATGGGACTCTGCTCACCCAGATTTACTTAAATCAGATGTACATCTGAGATTGTAACCACCTATTTGTAAATGTACAAATGCATAGCTCATAGAAGCATGTAAGCAGTGATATAACAAAAATGTTTTACAATGTGTTACTAAAATGTTAATGTTTAAATATAATTGTCATATTATTAGACTTATAAAAATGATAAAGACGTAACGTGTATGGCTGTCCCATAAAGTATGCTGGGGATCATTTTTTGTTCTTCTTTGGTTCCAGGAGAGAACATTGCCATCATTGCTAAGCCAAATGGTTTTTCCACCTTAGACCAAGGTCCATGTAGATTCTCAGTATATCTGTATAATATAAGAACACTTCTCTTGCTGCAGCATGTTTTTATTTTACTGGGATGCTTTTCAACAGCGTAGATTTACACCAACATCTATTATGTGTTTCTACAGGATTACCTACTAGTATGCTAAATTTTTCTTTAAAGGTCAGCTCCACCCATTTCTGATATTTTAGCTTTGCATGGTTGCTGGCAATACGAAACACACATGCTGGGCTCCAGCATTTCTGATGCAGGTATGATTGTTCCATTTTTAGGTAAAAGTGAACTTGGCACCAATGCAAAAAGGTATTTACAAATACTTCTACACAATACACAATAGTCTAGAAAAAACATAAAATAACATGAATTTTTAAATCTAGGCCACATGTACATATATAAAAGACAGATGTTCAAATCACATGCAAAGTCTATTTTTGTTCTCTAATAAATGTGAGATTCTGATGACACTGTGAACATGGCATACATAACACTGTGATGACACTGTGAATATGGCATAAAATAAAAAAACATACAGTATGCTTCACACACTGGAAAACATTATAGATAACAAATGTAGCATAAAACAACAGACATACTGTACAATAACACACAGGCTGTGTTTCTGACCTTTCTGAGCAAGCAGCAAATCCGTTCCACGTTCTTAACCCTCTCTCTCTGTAGAAAAGGTGAGGGGGAGAAAGAAAGAGTGGAATAAAGAAGGGAAAGTAAAAGAGGATAGAAGAGTCATGACAGTAGGACCGGGGGACAGTATAGGATAAACAGAAAAATAAAACAGATCAATAGAAAAGAGGAAAGGAGGGAGTGACAGTGAAAGGAAAGGCGTCAGACGAAACATGCAGAGAGATACAAGAGGTTAGTGACAGCTGCAGATATACTGCATGGCCTCTTGCTCTATCCCACAGCTGCTGAGATGCTCTACAATGCAATAATAGGAAGAAGCACATTGAAGGAATAAGAAAATCTCACCGCTCTGGATGGGTTCCCCTGTTCAATAGGGTTCTTAAAGTCTGTTCGTAGTTCATCAAAGGCAATTATCTGCAAAGAGACAGCCATATCAGCAACCAACACACAGCAGATGTACACTATAAAAATGATAAAGTATTTTGCTATAAAATTTTAATTTTTTCAGCTTGAGACTGAAGTGTTTTACCCACTTTTTCATTTATTAATACATGGTTCAAGGCTGAAAATATCTTTTCTGTAAAGCAAATTTTTACATTTTGGAACTGCATCACTCTTCAAACCCAACATTCTAGACAGACAGCTCCATCTGTTGAACATGAGATCTAATGCTCAGAGCTGCCTCCATTTTTCACGAATCAAAACAGAAGATGTTTCTGAACAAACGAGGATATATAACTGAAAATGTGAAAAAAATGGAGCTGCCTTCACTAATTAGTATTTATGAGTTACATGTCTTCTTTAATCAAATAAAATTGTTTAATTATGTTCTATATCCATGTGAGTCTGAAACCAATATAACTTTATATTATGCCAGTTTCTGTACAGAAGAATGTTGGATGTATTATGTGTAGCACCCCTCTAGTTAGGCAGGGGAAGCTAGGCTAGGTTTTTAGGCAGAGGCTGAATAGCAGCCTGGGCAAGAGTCAGCCTGGGCATGAGTCAGCCAGGTCACCTGGGGTGAGGACCGCTCTTAGGTATAAGTGGGCTTGATCGACAGGAAGTGAGCAGAGTGTGTGTTGGGTGAAAGGTGGAGTAGGAGGCTGGAGCATGGAACTTGGGAGGGGGTCCAGGGAAGGGGCCTGCCTACAGGCAGGTGCTTGAAGAGGGGACCTCCACTGTGCCAACTAGAGGGACAGTCTGAGCAGCAGGGAAGGAGCCAGCTTAGCAGAAGGCCTGAAGGCAGCCACCGACCTATAAAGCTCTCAGGAAGGACAATGTAAGTAACCTTACATCCCCTGGGCCAAATAAGGGGAGAAAACAGTCAGGTGGAGAATCCAACTAGCTCCTCAGCTGGGACTGTTTGATTTTGGGCAGCATCTGGGTCCCCTTGCCCAGAGAATACCCTTAGTACTGCTAGGTGAAGAAAAGGATTCATCTGGGTTGTGATGAGATACACTGGAGAGCAGGAGTTCTCTCAAAGAAGAGACAGGTTTTTTGCTTCCTGTCCATAGACGTGTACATAATTTGTCCTCGCAGTTCACAGTTCCTTAGGCACCCCATGTATCCCTCAACCCTATCCAAGTTTATTACCCCTAAATAAAATCACAAAAAACTAAGTCTAAGGACTGGTCACTGTCTCAGTGTGCAAGTGTGGAGGAAGAAGATGCGTGTTGCTGGGCTGTGCAGGACTGTAGGAGGACCCAAAAACTTAGTGACTCCTAAGAGGGTAGTGCTACATATGTATCCCTGTGATTTCAAAAGATAATTTTTTTTTTAAAATGAAGCTGACTTCATTTTGCTGTGAAGCCTTCAAATCTCAAATCCACCAGTGATGTTGTGGCTTTTATAACCCTTGGTGGTTCTTTAGTGCTATTTTACCTTACACGTTTTGAAAATAATGATCCTCTCATTTCTACTATATTACAGTATATAATATGCTGCTACCCAATATTATACCTCCTAGCCATCCAGCTGTTTGACTGAAAAGCTTTTTATACTTGTTTATTACCAGTATGTTTATCTACAGAAGTAATTTAGGCCAGTGGATGACAATTTATGTTTGGTTTCATGAGCTAGATAAAAACCGTTGTATTCATTTTGTCTAGTCTTTGTTGCTCTTGTGACAATGGGCACAAAAACTGGACTAAATATAAGCAAGGGGGTTTTTATACAGTTGCCACAAAACCAAGAAGAACAAATTATTGGCTAATGTATAATGCCATTTGGATGTGCCAGGTCTGTTAAAGTATATATTGTAATACTGTAATATGCTTGTCTTTACATAACTAGCTGTACCTTTCGTTATTTGTTTTCAGAAGTGTGAATTTATTATACGACTTTATCAGGACTGCTAAAAGCTTTTTTATCATAAGGAAGAAATAAAAAAAACTGGTGCGTTATGAGTATAGTGGCCATTGAATTTGTACCCAGTTTTTTTTTAAATCCAATGCTAGTACATCGTATACAAAAGTGATAGAACCTCCTCCTCATCTGGCTTGCACTGGTTTCCATTTCAATGTCTTAAAAGCAACCTCTACTGAGGGACAATGTATGCTGTCATTGCTGACTTCTTGAAAAATTATAGCTGTCTAGCTTAAATATTGATGCAGTGGCTGTAGTATATTTTGTATCACTGACTTGGAACAAGTAATAAAACCAGATGTTTTGACTTTGCTCTGATGTCACCGACTACATGTTTGTTCCAGGTCCATGGCTTAAAATTTAACAGAGAGGCCACGTAACTAGCATTTTCAGATAAGGTCAACAATGGCAGCCTACACATCTCTATGTAAAGATTTTTTTTTTTTTGCTAAAGTATAAATAAAACAGTAACTAGTGCCAAGTTTTCTATTTAGTCTTAGATCCCATTGGGAGGATTCTTGTCACTTCTTCAAGAACAGGTGAGAAAAATCCCATTAGTGACATAGATGTCAATAAAATCATATTATTAGACCTCAATAAACTGCAACACATCCTGAACTTTTTCATTTGGTAACAACCATGGCTGCACCACTCAATCCTATATCTTGCGACTAAATCAGGAGGAATGGGAGCACCAGATCTCAAAGCATACTATAAAGCTGCTATACTCGATCAAACAAAATGCTGATGGAATCCCCTTGCTTTTACTGACTGGAAACAAATTGAATGTACTGCATTATCAACAGACTCACACCTACTTCTAAGCGCCATATGGCTTCACTATCATCCTCCCCATTTTTTCCTAGACACAATTAAAGCTACAATAAGAGTGTGGCATTCCATTCCACAAATAGCTAAGGGAATTTCCCCTCAAACTCTGGAATATCTCCCATTTGCCTCACTGGAACTTTTAGCACCTAATCTACCCTTACATCAATGGACTACAGCAGGTGTCTGTAACCTCAACAGCTATACACACCTCAGGGCACTCACCACCTTTCATCTTCTATCCACCTCCCTTAATGTACCAAATGGGGACTTCTACCTTTATCTCTGTATCCGGCATATCCTGTCACCAATCAAGTGGTCCTCCAACCTAAGGACCAGTGTCCTTCTTAAATTCTACACTTCTCAGAAGCCCGCAAGAAAGGACTCTCCCTAATGTATGCACTTCTTACCACCCCACATACAGTGGTCAAATCTACAGCTATGCAGTACTGAGAGCATACACTACATTTCACCACATCAGCAGCATCATGGTACCAGGCCCTTAACACTCCACGTTCCTTCTCAAGAAACATCTCTCATTGAGAATCAGTTATGAAGATCTTCCACCAATGGTATTACACCCCCACCAAACTAGCAGCGATTTATTCTTCTATCTCTCCCAAATGCTGGAGGAACTGTGATTTAGATGGATCTATAACTCACACATGGTGGTCTTGCCCAGCACTTCGACAGCTATGGAATGATGTGTATTATCTCATTTGTTCAGTTACAGGTAGTAGTGTTACTTTAACACCACAGATGACTCTTTTGGGGATAGGGTTAACTGAATGGCCTCCCTCAACACACTCCCTGGTCACACATATCGTCATAGATACTAGACTCTCCATAGCTCGCAATTGTCTACTATCCAAACTGTGATCTCCGTCCTCAATGACCAATATTTAATGGAATTTATGTTTGTCAAAGCACACTTGATGACCCCTATGTTTTACAAACACTGGGAATTGTAGCTTAAGGACACAAGATGTTCCCCGCTACCTTAAGCACACCACAATTTTACCTATACTACCTATACTAACTCTTTGGTATATCACCACTGCCCGCTACTCCTGTCCACAATTGAGTCATCTAGTGCTTTTCTCTATGGAGAGAATCAGATTTACTATTATGTTCCTCTCGTGTTCTTTCCCCAATTCTTAGTTGCACTCCTCTAGTATGATCACTGAGTCCAGCAAAGGTGACACATCATCTCTCTTCTTACCCTTCGCTTACATATATGGCTATGGGCACTAGTCATATTGTCAGCCACATACTGACCTAATTCTGAAGTGCAACCCTACAATTCCAATGTCTCACACTACAAACAATCCAGATAGACTTAATCAACATTTTAGGTGGCGGTTGGTGTCGTTGTCAGTGACCAGGTGGTGTAGTTCGGGGGTCACCTGCGTAATGTTGGAGTCATTCTGGCTTCTAACAACCCACAGAGCTACATGAAAGGAGAGATAGAGCCATATTGACAGCAGGAGTGAGCAGCGAGGGGAATATCTGACCAGACCAGATCCATTCACATAGGATCCTCCAGTTCATCCACTGAGAGTATTGTCTCTAAATGTGCTGATTGATTTCCCATCTGGTGAGTGCGCAGTCTTAATAATATTGGTCACTTCACCACAGTATTGGATGGAACGTCTGTTATTGGAGATATTTTGATCTTCTACACACTCATATTGGGACAATATTCTAGCACTATAATAGCACTATTGGTCACTAACAGTGACGGATTTCACGTTTTTCACAGAAGTCACTTTATTTTGCACGAATTTTGGCACCTCGTCACAAGTCACTTTAATTTTTATGCCAATTTTTATGATTATTGGCATATTTTATATATTGAGCTTTTATATTGATGGTTGGAATTTTAGCATTGCACGTCATTTTATATTGATGTCTTAGAGGTTATTTGGTATCCTTTGGTGTTACAGCGGCTTTTTGGACTTTTAGCACTCACTTGTTCTATTTTATGATTAATCAACATTGCTTTTGGTGTTATTTGATTTTTTTCCTTCACTCCGTATGGTACATCGACAGTCTTTATTCTTTTTAGCTTTGATGTACTCCTTATATTTGAGAATCCTGTGCAACTGATTTTGTAATTGATCTAATCTTTACCCCTTATGTTATATTGATTGTAAATTTGGAAAATGTTAATAAATTCAAGTGAAAAATAAATCATATTATTAGATTA